TTATTATTGTTATCGTTATTGTTGTTGTCATGGATATTGTTGTTGTTAGAGTTGTTGTTGTTGAACTTGCTGTAGTTGTTACTGCCCTATTGGTCGTTGTCATGTTTGTCGAAGTTCTTGTTGTCGTTAATGTCAAACTATTCGAGATGATTAAAGTTAAATTTTTACTATCATTATTTAATCCAATACGTAAACCTAATCCTAATGCTAAACCTACAACAACCAAAGTCATACAAATATCCACAATTATTAATAATGGTAATGGTCTCCAAGGGTCCCATGGTTTTTGCACAATACTATATTAATAATACATTGCGATCGAAAATAAACAAATGACCACACACCCACACCATCTCTTCTAGATACGTGCACTTAGAAATGGGCTCTCGTCTGCATACAAGTTAATTTATGGTCATGTTCAGAACTTATGAAATATCTTATAATTAACAAAGATCGTTAATGTTCTAAGTTTCAGCTCTGTAGCTAAGATTCATATGCATACATGTGTGAATAAAATTAATATTTATGAGTTTCCGTACCAGGGACCGTCATGGAACATTTTTTTTATGCCCTGCTCTGCCCTGAAAGCAACGTATTAGTTCCATTTTTGTCCTGTCGTGCCCTGCCCTGAGAGCAAGGCAGGGCTTCAAAAATTATTCTGCTTGATAAAATGAATACTTAGGGCATATCAAAAGTTGGGAGAGTGATACCTGAATACCTTATGATAAGCTTTAAGTAATTTTCTTTGTATATGGTCTGATAGAGAAGAAAAAGCTCTATCTTTCTATGCTATTTGATCGTACTTCAACTAATATAATAGGGTGTGGGTGTGGATGTAGGTCTCTTTTGTTTACTCACATCCACACCTCACACCCGTCAAAATTATTTTTTTTTCACACGAACTTCTGAAACAGAACAATATGTTTAACATGAAATAAATAGAATAAATAAAGGCTGACCGATTTCATTCAGGCAAGTAGAGAAACTATAGTAGTATGGATGAACAGTTGGGGCTTTTTCAGGTTCTTTTCCCAGATAACTTTGGTTGCCAGGAATCTGATATATAGAAATCATCCTTG